AGTCATTCGCCTTATTAATAAACAAAATCTCAGATCGAAATACCGTTATTTGATTCTCCGGCGAATACCTCAAGCTGAATTGAAAAGTCAGCAAAAAGGTTTTAACTCGACTGTAGAGGCCCAAGAGTATGAGTTGCTTCTTAGAATTTTTCTAGTCTTACCGAGACTCCCTTGTAAACTAAGTATGGGTTCAAATGACGAGTATCAAGTTCGGTAGTTCTCTAGTAAGATTAGTTGAATAAGACGAAACTATTTTTTATTGGATTGTTCAGCAAACTTTCAGTTGTCTTAACAATCTATAATCGAAGGAGAAAGAATTTCCATCATGTATAATATTGTCAGTAGTAGAGCCCGCCCAGTTAGTTCTAGACTCGATTGGATCCGCATCTAAAAATTTCCTGCTAACCAAGTGTGGAATTAATCCAAGAGGTCATCTTTCAAAAATTGACAGCCAATGATGACTTGATTGTTGCAAGATTATCATCAAAGTTGTTTGAGTAATATGTAGGATGTATTTATCATAGAATATAAACAAACAATAAAAAGTATCTCACATTCGAACCGACTATCAAGTCTAGATTAAACAATTTGTATTAAAATAAATAGTATGGTTCGAGTCTGGATTCAAAAGTTTTGAATTCAAGGAGCTCTAGTCAATAGGAAGAAAAGAGATTAATATGAAATTTGTTGTTCTATACTTCAATATTTTCTTCAAATTGTGCTGTTAAAAAATTAAATCTGTTCAGAAAATTCAATTGACAATTCTTATGTCTTCATATCTGAATTAAGAATGGGTTCAAATCTGAGGGGAAAATTTCTTGTAACAATTAAACATTTGTGATTGTTACCAAATTTCTTACACAATTTTGGTGTTTGATTTACATCAACAAAGAAAATCTGATATTATTCGAGAAAGTATGTTCTTATAGAAAAGAAAACCAATGGCATTTGAAGGATAGTTCTATAAATAATTATTGTTATTTGTTGTTTTTGTTAACATTAGAAAAGAAATCTTTTTTTGCAAATTCTTATCAGATATTCGAAATACCTATATTTTAAAAGTGTTTCAAGACAGTGAAGATAATCGATAATTCTAGCAGTGTTATTTAAACGTTTAACAGTTGTACGAAACTCTTGTGCAATTAATTCAGCCTTATTTTCATGTGATTTCATTTCAATTGCTAATTTACGTTCTTGCATTCGAAGTTGTTCATGTTGTTCAAGAAGTTTCTTTGCCATTGAAATACCATTTTGTAATTGAGACACTATTGAAAGAGTTTCTTTTGTTGTTGTAGAGATTAGATTAAACTATATAAAAAGAATAAATGAATCAGAATCGAAATCGAAATTATTTTCCTTTTGTTTTTTTTTTACTTGAGCTTCAAGTAATTCTTGTTCATGTTCAGCATGTGTTAAAAGCTTTGATAAAAGATGTTCCGGATTATCAATATCAGATGTTTCATTTTCGATTACATTTGTATATTGTATCAATTGAGTCCAAAAGTCCGACATTATTTTAAAATAAAAAAATTAATTTTTTCATAATTATTGTTTTAATTAAGAATATTATCTAAAAAAAATTAAAAACAACAAAGATTTATGTGCTTTAGGAGATTTTTTGCTTGGAAAACAATTGAGATGTATTCATACAGTATTTTAAAGAAGTCTTTAACTAGAATTACTATTAACAAAATCTTAAAAAATAAATTGTAGACTTTGAACAAAATGAAAAACTAGGATATTTTTTTCTGAACGCGTAACTCGAAATGTTATTAAATGATACGCTCATCAATATTCATAGCAAATCATAATTAACTTAAACAAATAGAATCTTGTTCTTTTCTTGTTTTCTACTCTAAATCATATTATTTAATTTTATCTAATAAATAATGTAATTATTCAAATTGTATTCTTAGTGAAAATGATACCACTTATTTGCCGATCAACCTTTCCTAATAAAAATGCAAAACAAAATTCTTTTCTTAAGCGAAATATATGAAACTGTACAATAAAATTTTTAGAATAATACTAAAAGAAAACAAGAAGATCAGCCATAAATTAATTTAACTTGCAAGGCAAAAGCCTCTTTATTAAATTAAGCATTGCTTAAATCCATAGATGATTTCTAAAATTAACCAAACAAGTTTTTGTTAGAAAGAAAAATGTTTGAACTAGAAATTTTCTACTACATCTCTATTCTTTAAGCAGCATCATTTTGTCATACTCGTATCTAGACTGTTTTACAATCGTAAAATAAACAAAATGTTTTTTTGCATTACTTTTTTGTTCTGTTAAGTTGCTATAACTTCACATTGTTCGAACAAATAATACTGAAGATACTGATTTACAAAATTTTTCATTTGTCGAAAACATTTTGATTAAAAATTTAAAAATGGATATGAAATATTTTATTAAAACTGATATTAATGGACTTTTGATATAGTAGATTGTTGGTGCATGTAGTTCGAAATAATTAAGAAATATCGACTCTTTGCTTTGCAAGTATATTTTTAAGAAGTGTCCTATTTCTGTCATTTCCTTCTTGTCAAACATTGCTCTGTTCAACAGAACAAAAGAAAAAATATTTGATTAATTAAAAAACTAAGCAAAATCGACTAAAAAATAAAAGAAAAAAAGTCATATATTCTAAAAACAAAACTAGAGAAAATTAAATTGACTATTTTTTTGTTCAAAAAATAAATATCCATGTTTTTGAAAATAAATGTTATTCTATTCAACAAAGTCTACTGCGTACAGTCGAATTTTGCTTGTGACAAAATCTCCTCGAACATCCCTGTCTAATCCAGTGGCGTAGCCAGGATTTTTGTACATGATGGATTTCAGCTTCAGAGCATGGGATCCAGATGAAACTTATGGAGGGTGATATTGGACCCAAATGATGAGTTTTTATGAAAAATTTTTTGCGACCGAAGCTTGCGAAAAAAAATCTTTTTTCTTCTTAGCCCCCTAAAATTTTTTTTTGCTTTTGGTAGTATTCCATTTTTTAGAGTTTTGTCGTAATCTAAATCGAATTTCATCGACAGATTTAAAATTTCATCTCAAAATATGCATCAGTTCAAAACTTATAACGTTTTGAATTTTTACAACATGTCGCAAAAATTTTCATAAAAATTCAAAACGTTATAAGTTTTGAACCGATGTATATTTTGAGATGAAATTTTAAATCTGTTGATAAAATTCGATGTAGATTACGACTAAACTCTAAAAAATGGAATACTACCAAAAGCAAAAAATATTCTAGGGGGGACTAAGAAAAAAAAAGATTTTTTTTCGCAAGCTCCGATCGCAAAAAATTTTTCATAAAAACTCATCATTTGGGTCCAATATCACCCTCCATAAGTTTCATCTGGATTCCATGCTCTGAAGCTGAAATCCAGCATGTACAAAAATCCTGGCTACGCCACTGGTCCAACCTTAATGATGTTTTGTCTCTAGATACTAGATAATGTTCTAATTAAAAAAGTTAAAAGGACCTGGGTTCCTACTGAGATTTGACTGAGCTATCAAATTTCTTTTTATAGAGGCTTCAGGTTTTCGAAAAACTCGTATTTTTGGAACTTAGATCTGAAGATTTGAGCGTATAGAGAACTTAGCTAGAAAATAATGCAGAAGTTTTGAACAAAGTCTCTTCAAGATATGAATCTTTTAAAATGCATGCTATATACACTCTCAAACTCAAATTATTTTAGAGTTTTTATTAGAATACTATATAGTATCTATAGACAAAAAGAATCATTGATATCAGAAAGGAACATCTGCAGAAATTCCGTCGCTATTCCACCTGCCATTATGACTATTGATAAAAACAAAAAAGAAAAATCAATCTTATTTTCCGAATATACAATTTGCTATCCATTGATTACATAGTTAGCTGAGTGTGGGTGCAAAGTTTGATCGTATAGAAAAAATGCTCACTTTATCCTTGCTACTAGAATCTTGCGGGATAACCCCGTTTGTCCTGTAGGACTCTAGTAGAACGACATCTTTATATTTCTTACGATCTATGGAACACATCTAAAAATTCTAGAAACAGGCAATTGTAATTCTAAACTCGAAAAAGTAGTATGTTCCGCAACATTCACTACTCATTCGATCATTTGTTTTCATCCAAATAATCAACAGAAAGTATCTCACCATACAAGAAAACGATTAATTGGAAAGTATTTTAATGCAATCACGAGATGTTCAATCATTTAACAACGAAAATTTATTTTTTATGATTAAAATTCGAGAAAAAAAAAACAGTTAATAAATAATAAATAAGCAGATAGTAAATCGTGCCAAGCCTTAATTTTTCAACTTTGACGAATATTTTTTATTTGATTGGTTAAAAATTTTGACCTATGAATATAATATTTTCTCAAGGAGGATTCTCATCGTATTCATCATATACAATGGAGTTTGTCGGCTGATGATGATGATGATGATGCACTCATTGCTTCGTAGAAAAAAAAGAAAACAAATAAATTTGAAAATACTTCCTTGTTTTTATTTTTCTGTTCTAGATTATCATAATTACTTTTTATTGTACATAATATTACGTGTGATTAAAATCATCGATCAAAGAAAGACAAAAATAAAATAAAAACGTTTATAGTGTTGGCGTATTTTACTTATTTTGGATTATATACATTATACATATCGACTTGTTTATCATTAGTCATCGTTTTTTTTATTTTACTTAACAATATGAGAATCATGTAAGTTTATAACAAAAACTATGATCAAAACAACAATACATGTTAATGTATTCTCTCACCTTACACCTTATTCTTTTTTTTTCTTTGATCGTACTATAAAAAAATGCATCATCCTTTACATATAGCATCCTTTATTCGCATCAGTACATTTACTAAGCTCCTTCTTTCTTTTTTGTGTTCGACCTAAATACGTAATGGAAAACAATTTTATTAGCATTTACATTAAAAAATAAAAAAGCTTGTTTTTTTTTTATTTATAATTAATAGAATGTTCAAATAATGGACGATATTGGGTTAACATCATCACGAACGGTTATTAAACCTGTTTGTTCACCCTTAAATAATAGTAGACAACGAATAGATTCTGCATCTGTTATACAACAAGCGGATGTCTCATCATCAAGACCAGCGTTGTTGGCTTATGATGCACTTGGACCACTACTTTTTGAGGTATGTTTAAATTTTTATTAATTTTTCTTGTTTTTTTTTTTTTTTTTGTTGTATTTTTGTTTCTTGTTTTTTAACAAACAGCAAAAAACAGCATCTCTTATCTTTTACTTGATATACCAAACAAGAAAAAAAAAAAAGAAGAAGAGACAAATAGAATAATTAGTCAATCTTAAGTCTTTAGATTCTGTCAACTCATAAACATGTTGAACGAAGAAGATAAGAGAAGAAAAAAAAACTGGAAAAGAAAAAAAAGAGAAACTGAGAAGAATAGTCTGTGAATTGAACGAATATTACTAGTTTTTCTTTTCTTCTTCTTCTTCTTTTTTCTTTTTTCTCTTTTTTATTCTTTTTACCATCTTGTAGATGTTTTGTGCGTTGAAAGAATAGCGATGACAACGATGAAAAAATTATTTATTATACATCCTATAACGTATGCGTGTGCGCATGAGGGTGCATTATGCAGATTGAAACAGCAAGACAAAGGAAAAGCGTTCGCAGCCGCTACATGTTACTTTTTTCTTTTCTTTCCTTTGAAATACGTTCTTGTTCGCTTTCTTCAGTGTTGATGTGTGCGTGTGTGTGTGTCTTATAGCTGCCTGCGCACTTTTACACCGATAATGATGATTATTACAAGATTGCTTTGTAAAAACAGAACATGAAAATCATTTTTTTTTTCTATTCTCCTTTTCTGTCATTTATTTTTCGATCAAACAGATTATTATTGATCATAATTGACAAAAATTTAATTATGGGTATGAGTGAGCCGAATATATCGACAAATATCGATCAATTTATTGAACAGAGTATTCGATTGGTAAAATAAATAACCTAGAATACATATATTCTAGTTACACTAAAAAAAAAAACAGGATAGAATTTATAGAACTTCCTTTGCTTTTTGTTTTTCTTCTAGGCTCTCGATGGATTTTTCTTTACAATAAATCATAATTCTGAACTTGAATTTGTCAGTGATAATGTTGGACAATATTTAAAATTTTCTCAAGTAATTCTTTATTTAAAAAAATAAAAAGCAATAACAAAAAATGTTGTATATATGGTCCTTTTTTTTTGTGTATTCATAAAGGAAGAGCTTGCCGGAAGAAGTCTATATCATTTTGTACATCCAAATGACATTGGCGAATTTAGTAAAGCTTGGGCAAAAAAAGATGCCGGTTTGTTTTTTTGTTTTATATTTATTTAATTATTAATATTATTATAAAATAGGTGATTGTTTAGCAGCACTTATTAATAATAATGAACAACAAACAATTCAGTCACGTGGACGTACATTTCATTGTCGTATGCGAACAAATGATGGTTTGTTTGTTTTTCTATTTATTGGAAAAAAATAATTTTCTTTTTGTTAAAGATGCTACACCATATGTTCGTATGGTTATATCTGTTGCACTTCATCGTGATTCATTAGGTAGTGATAAAACATTTTTAATATGTATTGCTAGACGACCATCATTAAATGATCCAAATGATAAACCATCATTACTTGGTTTTGACCAATTTTCATCACGAATTAATCTAAATTATGATATTGAAAATTTAGATTCAAGGTAAATTCTTTTTTCGTGTTTTGTTTTTCTGAACAAAAAGATAAGAAAAATAATTTATTTATTTTTTTAGTCATATGAAAAGTGAAACAATTGATATGAATTTTCATGGAAAAAATTTTCGTGATTATGTTTATAGTCATGATATTCCATCAATTGAACGACATTTTGAAGAAGGTAAGATATATATGATCATTTTATTGTTCGTATTATTATTTCTATGTCAAAAAAAAAAAGAAAAATTATCATAATTAACGTAGTTAATGAAGATTACTCAAAATGATAAAAAAACACCCACACTCTCAAGTATCCGAAGTTTTGTTCTTGGATCATGTCCTTTAGATGAGTAGTACTGAACAGAGACCGAAAACGAACCGAACTGAGTCGAACTAGTTCGGTTCGGTTCGGTTCGAGTCGAACCGAACCGAACCCGAACCGACTTTTTGAAAACTCAATCGAACCCGAAAAGACTTTTTGAAAACTCTACCGAACCAAACCGAACTCGAACCGGATAATCTTGGCTCGGTCTGGATCGGTAGCAGTTCTCAGTTTTTAAAAGTTGCCTTACATATTCAAAANAAAAAGAATGCAATTCAAATTTGGAAATTATTATCGAATGTCTTGGTCACTCTTTTCAAATGAAAAATGTAGCGAAGCTACAAATGTTGATTTTTGCTTGACTTATATCAATTTCACGAGATCCCATAATGATGAATTCAAAAAGCTTGATTTTCGAACAGTTCGAAAAAAAAAGATGACTCACCTAGGCTACAAATATCAATGTGAAATTTTTTGTAACGTAGTCAAAACATAGAGCTTTCGAGGCGCTACAAAGCTGCTTGTTAGTTTTATCGGTGAATCAAAATCCGAACACATAAAGCTTAAAATATTGATTTTTACGCTTGAAAGTTGTGTTTCTTGGAGCACTTCAGTATTACTTCTCTAATTTTTCTTCATAAAGTCTCACCAAAAGATCTTCACTATGTTTTTGTAGAGAATTGAATGCTGAATCCTTTGGAAGAAACCCGAAGCCTTTGAGAAGAAATTCAAGACCGATATCGATGAAGCAATCAGACCATCGTTATTTATGGTCCATCCGTTATATATTTGTATACGCATTAACGAACAAGAAAGAATAGGATAATACTATAGAACTAAGACAAAAGAGAAATATGCTAGAGAAAATTTCAAATAAGTCCAGGAATAAATGCATATGGTACGCTTTCGCAATAAGTTTTCCAATCTTTACCATATTTAGCTTTACATCGAGCCATATCACGTGTATAACGATGAACAATCATGAAAAAGAAGAATATGGGATAAAAATAAGGTAAAACACCAGGCCATTGATAACATGATAATGCCCAGCATGTTGACATACATATATCAGCTGTATATGCGGGTTTACGACAATATTTCCAATAACCATCAATTAATAATGGTGAGCCACATTCAGTTTTTAAATATTTAGGATTTTTTATTTCATTCCATGGAACTTGTGGAAATCCATTTCGTGATATATATATTCCTTGTTGTCGCATACGAAAACGAATTTTTTGTGATAGAGAAGAATCCCATACATAATAAGCAAGAATAAGTATAATAAATAATATAATAATAAAGGTCATTGATACATTTTCATTAGGTTTTTGTGTACGTAAACTATTAACAAGAATATAGTATGCTTGAAATGCATAAACAAATGGAACACCAGCTAAATTCCAATAGATTAACATCCAACCCCATTTTTCATAAAATATATCCCAAGTTACAGGAATACATTCTTCACCTTTCATACAAGCATTTATATAAAGTACTTGAACTGTTAAAATAAATATCATTGGCCATGTTATTGTATGAAATACTTCATATTGTTTTAATGCAGAAGATATAATTAATAGAAATAATAAAAGCCATGATAAACGTACTTCAGCTATCATTTTAAGATCAACATCTTGTCCTAAAATTCGAATACGTGGATTTAACCAAACTCCCATAAAAAAATCATAAATCGGTGAATGTGTCATTCGACATGTTTGATTTGTTTTTAAAGCATATAAATGAATATATATTGATAATATATCACTAAATATAACAGCTATACAAAGTATTGAACCAAATTGATCAGCAAATATTGTCATTCGAAATATACCAGTAAAATGACATACAGCAACAAGTATTAATGTTAAATACCAACTAGCTAATGCATTACATTTATAAGTATATTGTTGATTATTTTCAGTAGGTACAGGTAAGCCTTTAACTTCAGGACCGGGTAAAATAGCAGCAAGTATAAGTTGTAAAAGAAAAAATCCAATATAAACATAACAAGCTGACCATGTTGGTGAACATGTTTCTTTAAAGTTTTCTATAAATTCATTAAATGATGATGGAAAATAAAAACCACCGAAACTATATCGTAATGATAGAGCAAAATAAAATGGTATAAAATGAGAAAATATCATTAAACCAATAGCTCCTGGTGTACCACCAAATTCTTTTGATTCTTTACTCATTTTTGATTATGTACTTCGTCTGAAAAATATGTAAAAAGAAAACCTAAAAACTGAAAGGAGATAATTTATTTTAAAAAGTGCAAGATTTTACTGTATGACACATCTTTCCATAAGTATATATGACTTATCATCTAATGATAGTATTAGTAAATAATGACTTGTTAAGACATTTAAAAAATGTTGGGTCAGTTCATATTTTCCTAATTCTAATCTAAGCTCTTCTATTTCTATTCTTGCTTTTTTAATAAAATGATTATCCAAGGAAAAGAAACAGCTCTCCATTTTCTTTTTTTTATCTTTATTAACTTATTCGTTTGTTTCAAGCACGATCAACTCATAATCACGCCATACAAAAGTAACCTTTTACCTTTGAGTGCTTTCTTTCGATGTATTGAATATGTTTTCGGTAGATTTATTTTTATTCTAATATTCTCCTATTTTATTAATTAACTGGAATTATTTTTTTTTCTTCCTTTGGTTTTCAACATTTTCTGCAGATTAACCAAGAAAGTTATGGATATTAAGGTAAATCAATCTTTTCTTTCTATGATACTTATGACCTCTTCAAGAAGGAGAAAAAGTATTTTTTGCCATGTGGATGACGCATTTCTCATTTTAAGTCTTTTAAGTCACATAAACTGTCGTTTACATATATTGTCTATCAGTTGCAAAAGCAAATATCTATCGAAAATGTAATCCTTAAAAACATGATTATATTATGATATAAAAAGCAGAATACAATATCATATTATTACTATTAACTGTTATCATCTAATAAAAAACATACACCGGTAAACGCGAGCGCAAACGAAAGAAGAGCAAAATACCGAAGAACAGAAAAAGGATGAGATATAATATACATATATATGTTGGTTGATGCATTCACAAAATCACGCCATGTGCAAAACAATGGTACATTTCTAAAGACAATCACGCCATACATACTATCCAGGGATTACCGAAAAAAAAATGTCTTCTATTTTTAGATGAAGTTATATATTATCAAGACGATCAAAATAAGAGCTATGCCATCGATGACGAGATCGATAATACTTTGTTAAAGAATATCTTAAAACTTTTGGATTTTTAATACTCTCATAAAAATTAGTGAATATTGCAAGTAGACTTATCTATTCTCCTTCATACTGGTCAAGAGCCTAGCATAATATAAAATTTCTTTTTTCTCTATGACTTTAAAATACAAATATATTGAGTTTGCCATAATCTTAGAAACTTCATGAATCGATTATAATTATGAATTTAGTATTAAAAATAACTGGTGTCATTATAGCTTTTGTTTGTTTTAATATCAGCAAAAAGTACTCACATTCATAGCCTTGATCAGCATCAATTCGAGACTGCAATATGGCTCAGCTGTTGGACGAATGTCTTACGTGTGCTTGATTTATATTTCTTTTCCAATATTGAATATAATAAAAGATTTGCGACAGCTTTAATAGTCCTATAGCCTATTCTGTTACTTCATTCAATTTATCATTTATTTGAAATGCAAAAAAAAGAAACACGAGAAGAACAATTATTATGATTATATAGAGGAAATTTTTTCTCAGCTACTTCGGAATCATCGTTCAAATGTGCACCTGCATACCATCAAAATATGTGTCGTTTCGAGAGAAAAAACAATTAAAAAAAACTTGTTAGTTCAGCTTTTTGTGGAACTTACATGTATTCTTTAGCCTTATTATACTAATACAAAATGTGTAAAGTGGAAAATCTCTCTCAGACTATAGTTGTTTTCCAAGATAATCGATTGCTAGAGAAGCCATCTGTCTTATTTATTTCTGCATTTCGAACAGAATTTTTTCTATGTGCCTTGTTGCTAGTTACTCGTTGTTTTTGCTCAATCTAGCATTATTATTATTCTAATCATCGCCAAATAAGCCTGTTGTATGTATCCATTATATCTACAATAGGTCGTCTCAATACAATATTATATATTTCGATAATCTCCGTAACATTGATATTAATTATTTCCTAAAGTTATACGTAGATCATTTGATGCTTTTTTTATGTTGACCATATGACAGCTGTGGCAAATTAATGCAACACTTACCCATCATCGTTAACGACTTGAATATAGATTGTTATCTATGCAAAAATCAAAAGCTGTTCCATTTGGAGCATTTACAAACATATTCCAGCTATTGAAATTCTGAGAAAGACTTTGGAATGTTCAAGAATTCTCTAGAGCAATCTAAATCTTGTCTGCAGTGGCATTTGGTGCCTTTTTCGGTGGTTAACGAACCTCGAGAAAAAAGTCATTTTATGAAATCTGATTTAAAACGAGGGTTAAAGTATAAAAGTCAAAATCTGAACTCCACACAGTTTGTGACAGACGGTGTCGATATACAATCGCAGACTTTATGTGAATGATGGTTTGTTATAATATGTGAAATACTTCCTTATTGCATTTCTGGAGGATAAAGTAAAAAAAGGGTGAAAAAATGCAGACACAATAAAGCAGTCTCCTTGTGATTAATAACAGTAGCTACATCATATTTCCCATTTTTATCCCACAATAATTGTATTAACAGCTTTTTTTGTGTACTCAAAAAGTGAGTACACTCTAGAATCGGTCAGTGTGTCCGTCCGGCCGTTAACACGATAACTTTTGAAAGGAGAGTCCAATCGCGATGAAATTTTCTACACAGTTCAGTCTTAACAATGTCTCGGTCGAGTTCGAAGATGAGCAGGATCCGTCAAGAAATGGCTGAGTTATCGAAAAAATTGTCATTATTGAGAAGATCATCCCNGGCGACCGCGCCCCCACTCTGGTAATAACCCCCCCCCCCCCCCCCCCCCCCCCCTGGGGTCAAAACTTCGCAAGGTGCGTTTTTCAATGTCATCTATACACTCTATTATCCAATCAATCTTGTACGGACCTCTGCTAGCTTCTAACATATATTGAAAATATTTCTCCAAGATTCTCGAAAACTCGAAGATTTCAAAATTCTCAAGGTGGGAAATATATATCCCACTGGGTCTCAAAGGGTTAATGTGATATAAATATGATGATCTTTCCAGGTTGAGCACTCTCGGTCTTACACATGTGTGCCGATCAATTACGGTGACAAACAACAATCGTTTACTGTTGTCATCAGCTAAGCTTTATAGTGAATTGTGGTCATTGTAAACGGTGACCATGAAAAATCGTCGTTAAAGTCTACCACAACTAGATGGTAGCTGTAAACAAAAGTCGTCGAATAGTCCCATAAGCTATCGAATACGATGGCTAATAATCTTTCTTCTTAGTGTATCAATTACTTTTACTTTTTATTTTTATGCAATCGAATGATGGATTCATTGAAATTATTAATCATTTAAAAACATCTCTTTTCATACGTACTGATTTTGGAGCAAGAAATGTTTGCTATGTGTAATATACCATTAATCGAAATTCATTGTTCTTTAAGAATCAAAAACAATTTTTTCTCGTCATTTAACTTTATACTCAATCATTTGTAGTTCGTGATTGAAAAACTCGATCTTAATTATTTTACACTGGTTAACAACAATTTTATAAACTTAAAAAAAAAACAATTATTATTTCATAAGTGGTTCTATTAAAAAGGTTTATCTGAAGTTGAAAACACCAATTATCATAACATATTTTGGAATACACTAAAGAATGTAGCTTAAGGTATTCTCAAGAAAATCGTTTATCTTTATCTTGTAAACAACTTTTTCGTCAGTTTTTTAGCAATGAATAAAAATTATAATTTTATTCCAAAAAATGATAGATTCAATTGTTTTATTTTAAGGTGCGTATAACGCAAAATTGGAATGGATTTTATTTTTTATTGGTTTGATAGAAATTGACAAGCTGCTTACGAATATATACTTTTTCTTTCCATTCGATTAATTCTTCGTTGTAAAAAGCTTCAAATACTGACAAGGAGGTCACCGGTATAACCAAAATCACTTTTTTTTCTCTAAGCAAACTCGTAAGTTTCTATACTCTTGAAAGTAGCCCAATGTGAAAATCCGTACCGCATCATATATATTTTAGGATAATTATATTTCCACGGAAAACGCACTTGTACTTTCCCTCCGCATTTTTTTCCTGAAACTTCGCCGGTAGTCCATTTTCCATCGAATACAAAATTTACTGAAATGTAAGTAGTCAGATGTAGATTTTCACACTGACTGTAAATATACTGTTTATTTTATTTTGCAGCTGAGTTTTCATAATAGAAACTGCCATAAACAAGGCCATTTTCTTGATCCTTTTACTAGTAAAACAGGGAAATATTCGACTTTCTCAACAATAACACAAAATGGAGAATTTTGTAGCTCAAAACTAGCTGATCCAAATGAGATAAGACAGTTTGTCTTATCTTCTGCCACAAAAACTTAGATAGGTTTATAAAATTGCTTATAAACACATTCTCTAAGCGTACACGTATTGATAGCGATTATTTACGCCATTTATTTTAAACTTAAGAAAATAAGATATTTTCAACGATTATGGACACTTAAGAATTGCTTTGAGAAAAAAAAGCAATTTTGGTTATACATGTGATCTTATCAGGTTTTAAAGCTTTTTGGAACGAAGATTTAATCTAATGGAAATAAAAAGTATATATTCTTGAATGAAAAATTAGTTTTGCTTCAATTTTGCAGTATGTGCACCTTATAAACAACTATAGCATATGCCAATAGATTGATTGACGCTATCAATCAAGTGTTAGTTTAAAGAATTCATTCATAAAATAAATATTTTACTATCAAAACTAAATGAAACGAATATATTAATCTGAAAATAATGACAAACAGACCTATAGTTTATTCGAAAGTTTACTATCACATTTTCTGTTCTTTTTTCAGTGCGTCGATTCATTAGATGAAAACAATTTTAAAGAATAGAAATATAAAGATAAAAGTACACTGTTAAAAATATCAAGGTCATTCGTCCTCGGTGAGTGCAGTATCTTCTACATGTAAGCTGCGGAATGAAATTGGACTTTTCTTAACACAAAAATAAATATTTGCAAAGTGAATAAATTTCTAATCCACATATGACATTGGATATCCGTTGTTTTTTTTTTATTAATATTTATACTTCTATTTGGTTTCGTTTTTCGTTGACGAGTGATTCTAACGTAACGATTGAGAAAAATAAAGCATTTGAATGAAAAATTATTATTTCTTTTTTTATATTACACTTGATAACAATTATTGTTTATTTTGATTAGTAGAAGACAGTGAAGATCATTAGTGATGTATTACTTCTGATAATTATGGTACATTCGAGGATAATGATCAAAAATTTCAGAGATCAGAATGTAAAATTATACTAAACTGAATCTTATTGTTATTTTTATTAATTATTGTTTTATTTATATTAATAGAATAATTTGATTATGAACACAGCACAATAAAAAATTAATAATCAACTGTTTTTATAGATACAGATAGTACTCATGTATCTTCGTAGCTGATATGCACAAAAGAAATCTATTCTTAATATAGTTAAAAAGAAATCAGCAATATCTAGCCCTGTTATTTTAGATTCTCATTTACTAATAAAAGAAAGAATGTATAGTTGAACTAAAAATATGATGTACTTATTCAAGGATGTTCCGAGCGAACGGAAAGATTGAATGGGTACCCTACTTTAGCAAAAAGCTTCCAACCGACCTTCTGAATCATCGAGTTCTTTCTAATTCTGGCGATCTTGGAACACGTCTATCTATATTCAACTTTTATTAGTAACTCTTCAATGCAGTACATATGCCAAACAATCGACAGCATCGAAGAAAAATAGTAAAGAACAACAAATAATAAGTATGTTCTCGTATTCTTATCAAAACGAAGAACATTAAACATTTTCTTGTGTTCCTAAACAAGTCGATAGAAAAAAAAATGATCAGAAACGTTTTTTTTCCTTTTCTTGTCCTCTGACAACCCAAAATATCCTTGTTTATCAAACCCGAAACAATAAAATAACACGTTGACCTTCATTTTTCATCCAATGGCAATGTATTCAATGTAGAACAAATTAACCAAAGAAAAGAAAGACAGAACAAGAGTTCCAGTGACGTTCACTTCCATGCTATTTTTAGCAAAGTTTTATACACATCTCTTACACTAATTATCTATACTATTTAAAATAAGATATCTCTTATAGGTTTTTATTTCTTGTATTATCATCAAATTTATCCGACTTAAGATATATCGTTATTCTGTGATTGTACGATACGATTACGAATGAATTAATAGATTTTTTATTATTAATTATCATAGAAAATTAAACCATTTTTTAATTTGATATTATCAGCTGATGTTTAAGTATCATTTTTTTCTATATACTTGTTTCTAAATTCTTTTTTATGTAGACTTCAATTAAAAAAGATCAGACCGTGTGGAAAAAAGAGACGAAGAGGAGAAAGCGATGAAAAATAGTTTTCCTCGCAGTTTATGAATGTAACTATGTGTGTCAGCAGCAAAAAGAAAGAAGAACAAGAGCTAAGACACTCGACAATCCAGCATAGGGCATATTTTCTTTTCTTACTCGCTTCGTCATCGAATGATAGTTAAGGAAGATAGTGCTGTAGCATACAAATAGGAAAGAAAAATAGGCGTAATTTTATCATTCAAGCTATTTATCTCTAACACGCAGCATTTTACACACTAAACGAAAAAAATATTTTTTTTATATTAATCAACTATACTATGAAAACGCCTCTTAAACCTTGTGACTATACATGATTGAAATCTTTTAAAAATACGATGTCACTTTGATCAGTGTGATATAAATTGCGTAGGTATATACTTTTGCATCAGTCTTCGTTTGTTGTCTCAATTTTTGCTGCTGTCGGCCTCTCGACGCGTTCGATGAAAGAAAAATAAGAAAAAGAAAAAAGTACATCACATGATGTGTAGACTTTTATTTTTTGCTTTTTTCTTCTTCCTCGTGATAAATACCTGAACATATTTTTTCGAGAGGCAAAATCAAGGGCTGCACCCTACCCCTTAGACTACCATCGTTCTCTTTCATAAAGTAAAAACATCCTACATATATTTACGAAACAGAACGACAAAAGTCTAGATGAAAACAACGTCGTAAACACACTTTTGGACTGAAACCAATCAAAAACTTGTTGACAATGCTGTCGACCACAAAGTACAACTATGGTAAAACGTCCATACGTCATTTATCTATATGGATAAAAAATTTAAATGGTAATTGATTATTTTAATTTTATATTATAATTGTATCTTTCTTCCTGACTTTTTTTTTCTTCTATATATATTTTAGACGTCGCCCGATCGACTTCACGTTTCCATACATTATCCACATGCCATTTTCCAATTGCTTCTTCAGCATTAGTAAAAAATTCAACTAACAACAATGCGATGCATAAATCTGTCGCACAAAGATCAACATTATTATCATCCGCCAATAATTTTCTTTCAGATCGTATAATAACAAGATTATCTCATGTAGCGTCAACTCATCCAGTATGGAATGAAACATCATTACCAGATAAAATAAAATCATTAGATGAATATAAAGCAATTTATTCATTATCAGTTAAAGATCCAAATCTTTTTTGGAAAATGGCAGCTGAACGTTTAGATTGGTATCGTTTTCCAACAAAAATAAAAAATACTGAATTTGATTATCGTACTCCACGTGGCGTTGATATTAAGTGGTATCAAGATGGTATAATAAATGCTTGTTATAATTGTCTTGATCGTCATATTCATCATGATCATAGTATTGCTCAACAAGTAGCACTTATATTTGAACCCGATACACCAAGTGAATCTCGGCACCATATAACATATGCTGAACTTTTACGTGATGTTAAAAAATTTGCTAATGTACTTAAAAAACATGGAGTTAAAAAAAGAGATCGTGTTACTATTTATATGCCTATGGTAGTTGAAGCATGTGTTGCAATGCTTGCATGTGCACGTATTGGTGCCGTACATTCAGTCATATTCGGAGGTTTTAGTGCAAATAATGTTGCTGATCGTATATTGGATTGTGAATCAACAATTGTTATAACAACTGATTTTGGTGTACGTGGTGGAAAAAGTTCACCATTAAAAATTAAAATTGATCAAGCTTTAAAAATGAGACAATGTAGTAATGTTAAAACTGTGCTTGTTTTTGAAAGAAATCATGGTATGGCAGAATTAAAAGATGATTGTGCAAATTTACGTGACGCATTTGAATGGACAGAAGGAAGAGATTTTTGGGTACATGAAGAAATGGAAACAGTTAATGATAAATGTGAACCCGAACTAATGAATGCTGAAGATCCACTATTCATTGTAAGTTTAATAAATAAAAAAAGAGAATAAAAACAAAAAAAATTTACTTATTAATTATAGCTTTATACAAGTGGCTCAACTGGTGCACCAAAAGGCATCATTCATACAATAGGTGGTTATTTAACATATACTAGTTTAACGTTTAAATATGTTTTTGATTATACACCCGGTGATGTATATATGTGTACAGCTGATATTGGTTGGATTACAGGTCATTCATGTAAATAGAAAATTTTTTCATATCTTAATCGATATTTATTAGGTCATATTTAGATGTTGTTTATGGACCATTAGCAAATCGAGCTACAACTATTATATTTGAAGGTGTGCCAACATATCCTGATGTATCACGTTATTGGAATATTGTTGATAAACATGAAGTAAATATTTTTTATACAGCACCAACAGCTATTCGATCATTAATGCAACATGATGATTCATTTGTAACTAATACAAGTCGTCAATCATTAAGACTTTTAGGTAGTGTTGGTGAACCAATTAATCCTGAAGCATGGAAATGGTATCATTCTGTTGTTGGTAAATATTTTAACATAGTTAAATTAATTGTTTATTTTTTATTTGATTCTTCTTTCTAGGTGATCATCGATGTCCAATTGTTGATACATGGTGGCAAGTAATACAAAAAAAATTTTTTGTTTTAATTTTTACTTTATGTTTCGTATCAAAAATGTTTTGTATTTGAAATAGACTGAAACAGGTGGTATTATGATTTCACCTATACCAAATGCTTGGGAATTAGAACCAGGTTCCGCTACACTTCCATTTTTTGGCATTCGAACACAATTATTTGATAAAAAAACCAAAAAACCATTGGAACGATCAAATCAAGGTGAATTATGTATTGTAGATTCATGGCCAGGACAAGCACGTAGTCTTTATCGTAATCATGAACGTTTTGTTGATGTTTATTTTAAAACATATCCTGGTTATTATTTTACTGGTGATGGTTGTGAAATAAAAGAAAATGGTTATCATTATATAACTGGTCGAGTTGTTCGTAGATGAAAATTTATATATTTCATATGAAATTATTTATTTTGTTGTTTTCTTTCTGTTTCTTAGGATGATGTACTTGTTATATCTGGACATAATATTGGTACAGCTGAAGTTGAATCAGCACTTGAAGAACATGAAGGTGTAATTGAAGCTGCTGTTGTTGGTTACCCAGATCCAAAGAAAAATCAAGGAATGTATTGTTTTGTCACATTAAAAGATCATGTCGAACCAAGTGAAGAACTTCGAAAAGATCTTATACGAAGTGTACGTGATATAATTGGTGCACATGTTTATCCAGATGTAATACATTTTACACCAAATTTACCTAAAACACGTAGTGGTAAAATCATGCGACGTATCCTACGTAAAATAGTTGAACCTGACACAAGCAATCTCGGTGATATATCAACATTGAATGACCCATCTGTTGTTGAAGAATTAATTAAAAATTCTCCACGAACAAAACGTCCATCATGAAAGCCTATATCAATTAGACTCATGTGTCTTTGTTTCCCTTTATTAGTGTTGCCTTAAATAATCTATGTATTTTCTTTAGCTATCTATATAGAGTTCTATTTTAGTATCTGTGAATATATAGCAAATTTGTCTATTATAAAAAGAATATTTCAACTATGAACATTGAAGATAAAAAAGAGAACATTTGTTTTGAATTCTTGTCGTTGTAATAGTTCCATAGAACATAATTAATCAAATATTTGAACTAGTAGTCATGCTTGATCATGCGTAATTAATTTGTTTGAAGACATTTATTAAAGTTATTTTTCAAATAATCGTTAATGAAGATTGATGAAATTTATCAATTGGATCGAGCATCTTAAAAATACATAGTATTTTCTCATGCGTTCTGATACAGAATAGTAAAAGCATCTTTATGAATACATAGTGGGACGTTGTCATAATGAAGTTCGATATTTTGAGCATGGACTAGAACCCAACGGACTCAAGCATATTTTAGGAAATTATTAATATAGCATTGATGAGAAAAAGCATTCCTTCTTTCCATATCTGTCAGTTTTTTAAGAGCATTTGACTAGTTGTTTTTAGAAAAGATATAAAATATTGTTTTGAAGTTAAATTACTATATGATGCAAAACTGTCGGTAATGAAGATTATTCGAATTTAGTTCTTCTAGTTCAAATAATGTGAACTGATTTATGTGCGACATATTCATAGTTTGTTATTTACTATCATTTCATGCATTCGCTGCATTTCTTTAATCAGCCATGTTTAACAAAATTCAATTCATCGAAATAGTTGCTAATCACTATGATGAATTTTTTTTTATCAAAGATTCTTTGAAAAATACTATCAACAAATGTTTTCAAACAAATCGATTATGTGTAATTAAGTATGGCTACTAGCTTAAAATACGTACTGGAACGAAAATATAATTAACTATTTCTTGAGAGCTTTTATCTGCCAAAACTACTCGTTGTGGTATGGTCTAACTAATAAGCCACTAGATCGAATTACGATGATTAACATATGCAAATTATGAACTCGTTTGAGCATTAAATAATAAAGGGAAACAAAGACACATGAGTCTAATTGATATAGGCTTTCATGATGGACGTTTTGTTCGTGGAGAATTTTTAATTAATTCTTCAACAACAGATGGGTCATTCAATGTTGATATATCACCGAGATTGCTTGTGTCAGGTTCAACTATTTNAGAGAACAGAAAAAACTAAAAAGAAGACACGACATTAATAAGATTTTGCTTTGCTGCTTAATCTTACGTGCATAATTCTTCATAAGCACGAGCATATTCACTAAGTAGAAGTGTATTGTCGGGTCCAACACAATTAACAAAAGAATCTCGAAGTATTTTTAAATCAAATTTTTTTATCGGACATTCTATTGGAACTTCAGATGAATTTATTGTTGTTTCACATGGTGTTGTCATGTTTGTTGCCATTTGTGTATCCGGTGCAGACGACATTGATTTGTATTTTATATCACAGTTTTATTTTGTTTCTTTTTATAAAGAAATTTATCTGAAAATAAACATTAAAAAAAAACAAATCGGTCTTATTCACAGTTAGTTTTTTTTTTGAGTTGTTATTTAAATATCGTCATCCATTTTGTCATTAACATCCGATAAAACAATAGCATCCATGTCGATATCATTATCCTCAAATGGTTTCGAAATATTATTATTATTATTATTACTTGATAATTTTGATGAAAAATCAAAATATTCAGTTATTTGTATTGACGATTGATTTGATTGTAGTTTAGACTTCGAACAGCTGGCTGAAGAGTCAGTCTCACTGAAAGAAAAACTAGTATGAAATAAACCATATATTATTATTATTATTATTCATCACACGACATAATCATTCATGACAAAAAAAGTTATTTCTTTTCTTTTTTTTCTTCTTTTCTTCAATATATATTGCCCGATTATATCAAGGTGAATCATTGACATTTCACAAACAAAATATTGCGGAGGCGTATTTTTTATATTTAATGAATAACGTCATATTATTGAATCATTAAAGAAATATATTTAGTTCTTAGCGAAATATAAAATGAGTTTTGAATATCAGTATATAATAGAAAATAATTTCTATTGATAATCATTAATAACAGGTGTGCCAGAGAAAACTGTCCCCAATTTTGGCGAATTTTTTCTCTTATTATGCGTGACATGTTTTTTCTTTGTACGTCAAGACATATAAAATTTCAAGCTGTATAAAACTGTCAAGATTATTTTTCAAACAAGTTTAATTTTGTAGGCGGCAAATTTTAAAGATTCACGTCTACTCAGTTATTCCATTGTGATTTTCTATTTTCTGCAGACACCTATTTATTTTTATAAAGCCGATGCATCAGAGGAAATACTTTTTTTTTAATGATTAAGAAATGAGAGAAGATTATATTGAGATTTAATGCAATTTCTCCTATGACATCCGTTATTATTAATAATTGAAAACTAATTATTTTTCTTGAAATATTCGATATTTGCCTATAAAAAAAAAAAAAGTTTGAAATAATTCAAGAACAGTCACCTGAAATCCAATTTACCTTTGATATATTGTAACGAATGGTGAATAATGAATGATGCTCTGAATATTTTGCTAATATGTTTCTTAATTTGTTAAAGCCTTGATTTATTCTCTGTAAAATCTAACAAAAATGACTGGAAAATAATCACAAAAAAAACTATTTGTGTTTCAGGCATCTTTTATAGAGGCTTATTTGATTAAGTGAAGTAACCAACTAATATGAATTTGGATTTCTTTTCGAATTGAAAAAAAAATTTTCTTCTACGATTTAGACCTGAGAGAAATTCTCGTGCAGATTATTTCCTGTAATAAATGGACCGACTAAGGCTTTCATAGAGAATTTCACGAAGTATTATTTGAAAAACTACTGGGAAGAACATTGTTTATGCGCCATTCACAAATGTACCGAATCTACTAGTCTGCACTAATGTGCGTTAAGGGAAATGTTTCAAGTTTTGAAAAATTATTGATTGTAGAAAAATTTTTCATTTAAAAATTCGAATAGAGAAATGTTTATCCTCTAGAAATAAGAGCATAAACTTTGTGTAGATCTTCTTCGAATATGCGAGTGAAAATGAGAATCAGACTTTTATTTTATTTTGAGAACAGTAGAAGTGTTTCGTTTCGGCGAAAAATTTTGCACTTTTCATTATCTGCTTGATTTTATCTGTAATGAAAATCTCATATTGTTGGTTCTTATAGTTCTTGAGCTATTATAAACACGATTACCGGCTTGGGTAAATAGATAATTTGATATATATATCCTTGACGAAATAAAAGCAAATCTAGTCCTTGTTAATACCAATATTAAGACTTTAAAATATAATATTCTTCTTTTTTTAAGCAATCTGTTTTCATCATAGGAATTTCTTTCGATTCTTTTTGTCAAGTCGTAATTTAATGAAAACTTATTATTGAAATGTTTACATTCAGCTTTAATTTTTTTGAACATCAAATCTATGTTTTGTATAGTTTTCTTTACTTACATAGGTGTACTTGGTTCAAAAACAAAATAATCTGATTCTGTTGAATGAAATGAATAATCAATTGTATCATTTTTTAATTCAATTACTGAAAGATTGCTATTATATCTTACGGATTGAGAATAACTCCTATATATCAAAAGGCAATTAAAGATGAACTTTCATTTAATATAACAATTAATCTTTATATCCTAACCTTTTCATTTTTGAAGTTCGCCTAGTTGTATTTTCAGGTGGTTCTTCAACTGTATAAGGCGTTGGTGGAAATGGTCGTTTGAATAAAAGATCATCATCTTGTTTTTTTATTTCTTTAGCTATAATAGGAGATGAATTTTGATTTTGATTTTCTTGTTCTTGTTCTTGTTCTTGTTCTTTTTCATCCATTGTTGAATTATTATTATTCACTTGTACTGGATAAATTGGCATGTAAGGTACAATTTGCATAGAGAGTTTTTTTCTGAAAATGTACGATGAAAAAAAAAAAAACTTTTATTAAAAGAATTTCATCTCACCGTTCAAAATCATAAAGCTTATTAATTAAACTATCTTGTAAATCATCTTTTCTTAAATTTTCTTTTAATAATTTATGTAATTCAAATCGTGTTTCTTTTCGCGATACATTATCTGTTTCATTTTGATTAATATTCTCTTCTCTAACGAATAAACAATAAATAACAAGAACAAACGAAATTCAGCAAACAACAAACAATTAATCAGGAAATTTCATACTCATCGTCTTGTGAATTTTGTGAAATTGATGTATTTTTATTCTCCAATAAATCTAATGAAAGTGTTTGCATATTTTCAATTAATATTTCTTCGGTTATAAACATTTTATTTTGACATCTAGTTAATAAATTAAAATTTGAATATAAAGAAAAGAAATTCATGTCTTTTTTAACTTTTCTTCAAAATCACTCGCATCTACTTTGCGTTTTCGATAGCCTTTATTGGACCAAAAATTAGATGAATTTGTAGAAATACTATCAAAAAAAAGAAATATTTTTCACATAAAATTTTCAAATATTTCCCTACTTTGGACTATTAGAAGTCATCCAAGAAGATGATTGCATGTTGTCTAGATCAAAAAACTATATGAGACTTTAAAGAACAATACAAATATGCATATTCTCAATATAACTCGTCGAACATCGTCATTAGAGCACGTACAATAATACTTGTCATTCTATTCATCAAATATGCTCAATAGACAGAGGGCGACATATGACGGAAGAAAAATCATATGGTAAATCATTTTTATCGAAAAAAAGAAATATATCTCATCTTATCCATTATTTAATTATATATTAAAGATAATTGACTTCGTCTTAAAAAAAAAACGAAACGTTACCCTTAATCACGAATATTTTATCTGTTGACTAAAATTATTACGAAATAGTTTCGTATGATTTCACTATTCTTACGCAAGAACATATATATTCATGAGATCTCTAATGTATAAAAACCGCAATATGATTTTACTTGTGGAATACACTTTTTTGAATAGAATAGCTTATTATTATATTAAATGGCTTCAAATAGTCTAGACGATGAAAAACCAAATTTACGACCAACGAAATATAATAGTGCTAGTGGTAAAAGTCTTTATTTACATTATAATCCTAATCAATCATCGATGAAATCATATATTCATGCAACATGGAAAAATATCGATAAAGATTTAAATGAATTTTCTTATGATGAACAAGATCTATTTGGCATTGAGCAACCTAATATTGAATATTCTTTAAATAAACAGCAACGATGGAAAATATTAAATGAAATTCGTCAGCGAATTGCTAATCAATCGAATTCATCATCAGATAGTGAACTTAATATACAATCTGATTCAGAACAGAGATCAAAAAAGAAAAAAACTCGACGACAACATTTAAATACTCATCAAACAAAATATCGTTTATATGAATTTCATCGAATTGAACAAAAAACCAATTGTATAGGAATAATTACTAATACAAAACAACAACGTATACAAACACCTAGAAAAACTTATATGAATAAATCAATAGATAAAATTAAAGAAGAAGAACAAAATCATCAAAATAATGATGACAATAAAACACGACAAGCTACTCCTGATATAACTTATTTTGCGGTAGTTCCACCACCACGAGAAAAACAATTAGTTAATATTAAAAAAAATTACAGTACAAAAAGTAATAATATTCATACAGTTTTATCAAGAAATGTTTTTTGCTTATCTACTATAGGAAAGAAAACAAGATCATGTACACAACGTGATCAATTCACTGAAGTCAGAGAACGATTAGATATTGAGGAACAATTAGAAAATGAAAAAGAAAATTTATCAACAGATGACGATGAATCCATAATATCAGTAAATGTTCAAACTTGTTTTTTCTTTTTATTAACTTCATTTATTAAATTATAGTACTATACTTCATCAAAACGTGATGAGTTACAATTAAATGATTTCATTCCTATCACATTAAACGATGATAATAATAAAGTATCTTTTAAATCAGACAATAAACGTCATTCGAAATCATTACAGACTTATCCTGATGAAATCGATTCGTTGAAACAAAAAGTTCTATTCCATCGTCAAATAAGTAACAAAAAGAAACTTTATTATCAAGATAATAGTACATATGTCAAAATGGTATGAATATATATTGAACTTGTTGCTTCTAAACATTCATTTTTCTTTTGTTTGTGATAAATTTAGCAACAAAAATCTGATAAAACAAATACATCTAAAAAAAAATCTTCTCATCATTTAATGTCATTATCATATCGTACGATTTATTTACATCAAACAGATTTAACTATTGAACATCTATCGAAAAGTTATGGAAAAAATTTTGTTCATGCTCAATGTTATCCAACAAAATATTTTATTTGTCTTACAGATCGTTTGAAATCATTTCAATGGTCCAATAAATCTAATTTTTTTTCATCTCATCAAGCACTTAATTGTTATCTTATTATTATATTAAATGATAATGAAAATAATATTTGTCAAGGACAAGTTGCTCTTAATATGGATTTAAATAGTGATACAATAGAGATTGAAAATTTATCTCAATCGAAAGACATGATTTATAAAATTGATGAATTAATTAATAAAACAATTGAATTTATAACAAATTTACCATTGAATAAATTTAAACGAATTAATTTAGAAATCAATCAAAGAAAAGTTTATCCAAATGAAATAGATAATCAATTAAGTGAAAGTGAATTTATTAATAAACAAATTCATCAATTAAATTTATTAGATAAAAATGATTTACAAAATAAATTAAATATTGAAGAATTAAATAATAATAATAATAATAATTTAACTCGACCTGACATTTGTACAAATTGTTGTTGTGATATGAATGAATTAACACCAATGACAGCATTAAAATCTTGTTCACATTGGTTATGCAATTTATGTTGGAAACAATATCTTGAAAATTCAATTAAATCTATCCGAATTATACGTTGTCCAGAATGGAATTGTTGTTCACTTGTTGATATTGGTAAGGTTGTTTTTGCGTAGTTTTATATTTCATTTCAAATCTAATTTATCAATCAATCAGGATTAGACATGAATCGAAATTGAACATTAGGTTTTGTAAATTAAACGATTAATCGCAAAAAAAAAATCTAACGAAGCAATATTTTCAACTGATCAATCACTCTTAAATTCGGACTCAGTACATAAGGTAGAGTTCAATAAGATATGAGAAGCTTCGAAAGGGTAAGTTCCTTTAGGTCTTCTGCCCAGAGTTATCGTACGGGAATTTTAGTCTCGGGCATGATATATACCAACACAGCTCAAAAGAAGGTTTCCTTCCTGAGATATTAAAATTCCAAAGACTAGGCATATTCCGCGAATAAAGCTAGAATTTTCTTTTTTTTTGAAGGATGAAAACTTAGATTGAAATACCGTCATTAGAATTGTTGGTATTTATCATGATCGAGGTTAATATTCCAGTAAAATACCGATAACTCTGAACAGAAGATCTCAGGGACTTATTCTTTTGAAGTTTTTCATATCTCCCTGAATTCTACCTTATGCACAGAATAGGAATTCAAAAGTGACTGATCAGTTGAAAATGCTCCTTCGTAAGGAGTTTGAAAAAAAATTAACAACAGCTTACCCAGTCAGACAAAAATTCTGAAAAACGCGTTTAAACGCACAATCGGGAACGGCGATTGTAAGCCATTAACGCTCATTAAAAGAACGCACGAAAACGCGTTTGTTGGCGTTTTATGTAACTTTATGGGCGTTAAAACGGCGAAAACTCCAATTTTGGAGCGTTAAAACGTATTATTTTTAAGTTCTAGAATAATAGTGCGTTTTAACGCTCAAAAACGGGAATTGTCGCCGTTTTA